AACCTATGCAATGGGAGAAAATATTCGCAAAAGGTGAGACTGAGAAGGACTTAATTTCCATAATATATAAACAGTTAACACAATTTAATAATAAAAAACAAACAAGCCAATCCAAAAATGGGCAGAAGACCTAAATAAGCAATTCTCCAATGAAGACATACAAATGGCCAGCAGGCATACGAAAAAATGCTCAATATTGCTAATTATCAGAGAAATGCAAATCAAAACTACAATGAGGTATCATCTTACACCAGTCAGAATGGCCATCATTCAAAAGTCCACAAACAATAAATGCTGGAGAGGATGTGGAGAAAGGGGAACCCTCCTACACTGTTGGTGGGAATGTAGTTGGTGCAGCCACTATGGAAAACAGTATAGAGATTCTTCAAAAAATTATAAATAGATTTACCATATGATCCAGCAATTCCACTCCAGGCCATATATCTGGAGGAAACTCTAATTCGAAAAGGTACATGCACCCCAATGTTCATAGCAGCACTATTTACAATAGTCAAGACATGGAAACTACCTAAAAGTCCCCAGACAGATGACTGGATAAAGAAGTTGTGGTATATTTATACAATGGAATACTATTCAGCTATAAAAAAATAAGATAATGCCATTTGCTGCAACAGGATGGACGTGGAGATCGTCATTTTAACTGAAGTAAGCCAGAAAGAGAAAAAAATACCATATGATATCACTTATATGTGGAATCTAAAAAAAAGACAAATGACCATAAATACAAAACAGAAACAGACTCACAGACATAGAAAACAAACTTATGGTTACCAGCGGAGGAAGGAGTGTGAAGGGATAAATAGGGAGTTTGAGATTTGCAGATATTAACTAATATATAAAAACAGATAAACAAGTTTCTACTGTAGAGCACTGGGAATTATATTCAATATCTTATAGTAACTTATAATGAAAAAGAATATGAAAACAAATATATGTATGTATACATATGTATGACTGAAACATTATGCTGTACACCAGAAATTGACACAACACTGTAAACTGACTATACTTAAAAAAAAAAAAAGAATACCAAGCCATCTTTGGGAAATGAAAATGTGGAGGAGAGTCAGAATGATGAATTGGAGACAAATCATGATATATCTTAAAAACTATTCTACTTTCCCAACAAGTGAATGACCAAATCCTTACTTTAGAAATATTAATCTGACAGAATACAATAGGATGGAGAAAAGGAAGTGAATCAATGTGCAATCAAAGTGAAAGTAAGTTATGAGTCTATTAAAATGTCCAATGACATGATGAAGAACTGAACAAAGCAGTGGAGACGGAACTAAGAGTAAGGGATAAAAAATAATGTGATGGTAGAATCAATGAGACAAGGAAAGGGAGAAGTCAAAGATAAATTTAACAAAATAAGACTAAGTAAATGGAAGAACAACAGTGATGTAAAAAGAATCCAGGAAATCAAGGAGAAGGATTGATGTCTAGTCACAGTTAACAATGATAAATTCCAGACTGGTCATTTGAATTTGATATCTAGAGTGAAAGTATTCAGCAAACAGTTAAAAATATAAGACTGGAAATAGGGAGAGAGACCAGGGACAGAAATTTGGGTCATGCCTACATTTATAAGAAGGAAAAAGCACTCAAGTACAGAAAAGACAAAACAATTACAAAGGAAAACGAAACAGGTTGATATAATATTATAGAAACCAAAGAAAGGGCATCAGCATTGCCTAATGGTTCAGAGGGAAGGTGAGAATGGAGAAAAAGTTCATAGATATTCAAGTTGGATATTATGACTCACCTTCCAGATAGTATATGTTCAGAAGTCAGATTTTAAGTGATAAAGAAGTGAATGACTTGTGAGGACACAAAAGGTTCATGCTGTAGAATGCTCTTTGCAAGGTTGAAGAAAAAAACAGAGAGAATAATAACTTGGTGGGAGTGAAAATGAAACCAAGAACGTTTCTTTTTTACAGATATGAGAAGCTTGAATAAGAAAAAAAAATGAATTAAAAAAATTCACTCTGAAGTATCCAAACCATGATATTTCAAGTACTAACAATTCACTTCTGCTATAGACTGAATGTCTGTGTCACTCCTCCCTGCTAAAATTCATATGTTGGGCCCTAATGCCTAATGTGACGGTGTTTGGGGACAAGGTCTTTGCAGGGCGGTGGGGCAGAGGAGGAATTAGGGTTAGATGAGGTCATGGGAGTGAGGTCCTCATGATGGGATTAGTATCCTTACGAAACACCAGAGAGCTTGTTCTCTCTCCCCTGCACTACACATGCCTGCACTAAGGGAAAGACCGTGTGAGCACAAAGCAAGAAGGTGGCCGCCTTTAAGCCAGGAGAAGAGCTCTCACCAGCACTCAACCAACGCTGGCAGCCTGATCTCATACCTCTAGCCTCCAAAACTATGAGAAAATAAATTTCTGTTGTTTAAGCCCAATTTTTGGTATTTTGTTATAGCAGCCCCAGCACACCAATATGAAAAAGACATGGCTTATCTTCTTGTACATAATACCATCAGCTAAATTCTCTTCATGAAACCAAGACAGAAGTTAGGAAGTTGTAATCTAACTCAAAATCCCCTTGGTAAATCTCTCATAGTCCTCAACCCTCCACAAAATTTCTCCATTAAAATATTAATAAGAAAAAAGAGAAAATTAAGTATCATTAAAATTGCAGATCAGAAAATGTATCTGTACATGGTCAACAGACTCCAAAAGGTACAGAGGGGAAAATAAGAGGAAAAGGAACAAATACTGACCTACTGAGTTGGGCAGAAACTTAATAAAAGAGGTGAATACAAAACAAACATTTGGTTTCCTTTTAAAATGAGCAAAGTAAATCTATCTCACAAAATGGATTTTAAAAATGGCTGGGAAAGTTTAAAATAAACAATTTGTAATTGAATGACTATCATTTGTGTTAAGTATCTAGCTAACAAATTTTACCCCAAGAGAAGACAACATATAATCTCAAAACTCAGAAGTGGGCTTGTTAAGAGACTCTATACTAAAATCATGTTACCAGTTACTATGATTCTACTCAGTCATATTCCAGCATTTCCAAGCTTTCCTTAACTCTGTAGAGATTCCTCTTCATCCATGCTAACTGCACACAGTCTGAAGAAGTCTATTCGTACAGGTGATAAAATATTTGTAACGTCAAAGAGATTTAAATTAACGTGCTAACTTCGTTCTGATCAACTCCTCTCTCTCTAAAGTGCTTTTTGAGAACTCATGGCTCAGTTCCTTCCAAAAAAGGTATTTCAAGGGTTCTCAAGAAACAAACACAGAAAAGCCATACCTTACCACCCCATAACTACTTAAAAATGTTTCTATTACTATCAAGCCAATGGTGTATCTAAACTAGTGTTAATATTCCTATTACTGGTAAGAAAAATATTAGTATAATATTTCCAGTTATAGATTCTTAAATTGTTAGTCTCATCCAAAGCAAATGCTAAGCTTTTGCATACATAACACAGATCTTGAAAAATGGTGGGGGAGATGAAATTACAACCTTGCAAAGGTTATTAGAAAAGAATGGAGCTACAAAGATAGTTTTCACATTCCCAAGGAGAGAATAAACCATAGGAAGCTCTTTATAATAGAACAGAAGGACAGAGTCTCAAGAAATTCTGAAGTTATTCCTTACTTATGAGGAGCCAAATACTTTGGAGGGAGGAAAAAGCATGAACTTGACATGCCCACATGGCATGCTATAAACATTTCCTGTTGAATTACTGTAAAACGTTCAACTACATAGAAAAAGCACTGATTTCATAAACCCACGCAAAGAACTGTATGTATCTCACACAGGTTATTAACTGATTTATAACCAAACACTGAGGCTTCATAAAACTAAACAGTACCTGATATTATGGGTTCAAGTGTCAGGAGACATAAATTATAAAATATCTTAAAAGGGAGGAGGGGCATTTTCAGATTTTTTTTTCTTTTCATGTATATATATCAAGCTAGGAAAGAGCTACACCTGGGAAACTTCCACTTGCTAGACTTTTGGCTCCATTAGAGAAGACCTGGTTTTCCTTTGAGGCCAAATTTGGAAAATACTTTAAAAGAAATAACTTTATAAATTAGTCTGTCAGAGATTATTTTTAAAGTCTTGGTTGCAGGCAGGGCTTCTCCTATTCACTTTTCTCACAAAACTAATTAGATGCCAAAACAAGAAAAGAGGCCAGGTAAAAAGTATGCAAAGGAAAAGGAAAAATATGTCCGAACTTTACAAACATGGTTTATATTATCTTCAGAAGACAGGACACAGTCTGGAAATATTAGTGTTTCAATCATCAGTTGCAAAACTTGATCATTCAGGTTAAACCTGCTGTTAGTGAAGATTATTTTTAATGCTGCCGTTTTGAAATTTTCGCTTTCAGAATAACCTTTGGGGAAACTTACAAAAGGCAGAGACAAATTCTTCAAGCTACAAAAATAAAATACTTAAGTTATTTTTGCTGTTGTAGATAAACTATATAAGAACAGCATTTCCAGCTGTTGAGGCAATTAAAAATAAAGAAACAAATAAAAAATAAAACAAAAATTCCAAAGAAACGCTAACATACCTAAACTATACCATTACTACACTTAGAGAAAAATACTGATAGGATTGATGAAATTCTACATGATCCAACTCTGCAAATAGGACACAGGAAGAAAATGCCAAGAATTCAAAGCTTATCCATGTTATTTGGAGAAACTTGACCCAAATATATTTATGATAATCGCTTTCCTAACATAAAAAAGATGAAAGAGGAGATAGGTAATGTGCCTGTTCTTACTCTACAATGTTAGTTTCTAGCAACCTTAAGCTTCCACATCACAGCCAAATTAAAATCCCAGGTTCCCTTTCCCTGCAGTAGATCATGCCATGCAGAGCAGATACAAGGAAGACTGCAGTTATTAAAAAACAAAACAAAACAAAAAAAAAACAGCATGAAGCAAGCTCCAAAGGTGCAAGGCTGAATTGGCTACGTTAGCTTACCATATATCTCGGATCTACTCTCCTCTGAACTAGACTTTGTCTTCTTGGAGGAGCTATCTGCACAGGAGCGGGAGAAAAGGAGAGAGATATAGAAAATATGGAGACCAATGTAAGGGGAAAAATTCATGGGGGAAAAAAGAATGAATCATGATCAAGTTAAATCGTGCAAACACAAAGTATGAACCTCACAGGTGATAGCACTTAGAACAGTCATGAACAGCATAGGTAATGGCATATTTTAGATTTACTGAAGAAAAGACAGTGCAATATAAATATGTTCCAACAAAACAACACATGAAGAGTCTACAAAATATATCATTTCACAATTGTAGAGATGACAAAAGCACTAAAAGCTGAAATAATCTCATTAGGAAGCACTGAATACCACTTTGCTAAATCTTTAGTCTTTGGAGATGGGCCCATCACAGATGAAGAATACAGAATAAGCCAATCTAACAAGACTATAATGCTTCTATGAACACAGGGCAGAAACTCGTGACCCTAGTTGTCAAGACGATAACTAATCATTTAAATGAAAGCCTCTGAGTGCCATGACACCAACACTAGGTGTCAGAAACAAAGAATTATTTCTTAATGGAGATCGAGAAGTTACATATTACATACTCCCACCACCAAAACCTCCTAAATTGATGACTGGGATTTCATTTTTAAACTACCACCCAAGATGCAGATAATTTAGTAGCTATTCACTTCCCATTCTTCCCTTCCTAGATAGTATTTATAATATTTCTTCAAAATAAATTAGCAGCTTATACTAAAAGTATGAAATATCTTAATTAGATATAAATATATATATACTTATTAAAAATTAAAAATTTTATTTCTAAGTGAAAATATCTAAAAATAGATACATTATATTTATGTATCTGAGACCTTAGCATTTACTTATCTTGTGTCATAGGAACATACAACTGAATAAAACAGTATGTGTACAAAGAACAAGTTTCAAATGACAAAAGCAAAATTATCAAGCAACTGTTATAAATTAGAAACTGAGTGACTTTACAAGGAGAAAACAAAAGCCTTTATATTACAAGAGGTTCAAGCTATAAAATTAAGAATATAAACAGTCAAAAGTCTACTAACATGAAAACTCTAGGAAAGATCAACATCACTGAGGTTGAAAGACAGCTCTTTGAGTTTAGAATACTTTTTGACTGAAGAAAAAGGGATTTCTATTAATTTGCTTACTCTAAAATGAAATGATCATTAATTTACTTTATTTAATATTATAATTTATCATGTTCACATGTGAATTTTTAAATGACTACAGAAATCTGTAGCTGTTATAACCTTGATTTTATAAACATACTACTGTTCACACCTGGGATTTATCTTACTACTAAATCCTTGGTCTGACCAAACTCTCCAATTATGATATAATAACTATTTCTATTACCATCATTATTTTTAACTATAATATAATCTACAATGATGCTTCTATGGTGAAACTGATGGTGTCGAAAGTTAAAAAATGTTTGTATTCCTCCTGAATGCAAAGGTTTTATATTTCGTAACTGAAGAGGAACGAGAGTCTTAAACAGATCAAACGCAGGTAGCTTCTCCTAGGTATTTCAGGTAGTTAGTTACGAAGCTTAAGATGTTTTACCTGTGGGATCAAAATCATGTGATGCACTGCGTTCAACTTTCTGCTTCTTATCTGTTGGTGACTCTCGGTTCAAAATACTTCCATGCCTAAATTAAATAAAAGCAATTAAATTTTTACTACAAGAAAATCATTCGAATAAAAACTTAAAAAAACTATAAAAAAAAATTTAAAATCCCAAGTGTGTCTTATACAGAGAAACCAAGAAATCAGTTTACCTTACACAGTCTCATAAACCTCTTTAATTTATATTTTTTCATGAAGTTTTAAAATTCAGTCTTCGCTATTTACATGATAATAAAAAGCACTTAAAAATAATGACTACTGTTTAGTAAAAAGTCTATTTTATTCTCAGAAATAACTGCTTAAATTCTTTTAGTGGTTTTTTTCACAGGTTAATCACTATTATTTCCATTTAACAGAAAAGAAAACAGTACCTAAAAGTAATTAAACATATTACCCAACCCTATGTATATAGTATGGTCAGGTTAAAAATCACTGGGTAAATAAAATACAGCATGGATCAGAACATTAAAAAAAAAAACTTAGGCAAGCCTCACTTAACGCCTGCCTATGGTTCTTGACACAGAAATCTCTGCAAGGCCTGGGTGACACTAGAATTATTATTTTTCCTATAGCCTACTCAATTACACTGATCAGATAATGGCTGGGTAGCAAATAAGACCACTACTATAACACATACACTACTTACTAACTAAAATGCCAAGATTAACATTGGTATTCTACACTATGCCATCACTACAAATGATAAAAATACTCTCATAATTAGGAAAGACACACTACCTACATTTTAAATAATATTTATGACAATCAAGATGGGAGAGTGAAGAGATGTTGAAGAACAAGTACTGAGGAAGAGGCACTTAATCCCGGGAAATGAATAAATATGGAAATATGGATACAAGCACAGACATATTTGGACATTTTGGACTTTTCCCTTTACTGTCTTAGGGTAATTAAGACTGATCTAGTTTGCCAAAGTTCATTAACTAAATTAAAGGCAGTTACAGTTGTCCATATGATAAAACACGTCAAAAACTGGCAATCCATTTATACTTTCCAAGCTACTCACAACTGAAAACAGTCACAATAGATTTTAAAATTAAATCTCTTCATAGGGAGTAACCTTAAGTATCAATTTGAACAAACTTTTAAAATGCTTATATTAAAAACATTGAAATGTTATCAAAATAATGTTGTCTTCCAGAAAAAATATGCAACACCTGTTATATTTTAAATTTGTAAAGCATTTTGAAATTTTAAACTACGTAAATCCATGTTTTCAAAACCACAAAAATGCACCATAATTTCAAAAGAATGCTTCTAGGTAAAATTTAACCTAAACACATGAAGTGTAACTGAACAACTTACCTTATAGGTTTTTTGAGGGGAAACCTAAAACAAAGAAAAAACAAAAAGAAAAGATGCAGTTACTTCACTTGTAAGACTGTTATTAAATTTATTCATTCTACAACCAGAATAAGGGATTTAAATCTTAAGCGTTCTTAAAAGCAAGATTCAACAAACAGGTGGAGCTGGATACTATTTGTAGTATCTTAACTACTTTGTTAAAGCTCAAATTGCAGGTGCATTTACCATCGGCTGTCCCTGAGTACGGGTTCTCTTTTTAAAAATCTGAAAAATAATAGCAACAGCTACATCTATTGAGGGCTTAGTAGATGCTAAGCACTATTCTAAACTGTTCACATGTATTATCTCATTTAACCCTAAAAAATAACTATGAAGATATTATTTCCATTTTACATATTTTTTAAAAACTGAAGCAAAAAGAAATATTTTACCATTAAAATATTATATTTAGTTTCCGTAGCAAGAAAAGTTCCTTCCTGCTCATCACGACTCTCTATCCAAAATACCTCAGTGCTGACTACAGATCTATTGGTCTGTGTCTACCCTTTGGTCATGATCAAATCATGGTCCTCAATTATTTATGTTTAGGCTTAACAACAGAAATCTAGAAAAAATTACCAGTGCAGTACTATCAGTTATTAAAAATGTTCCAAAAGTAGAAAACAAAGGGTACTCTTTTCTTTTTTTCAGTTCTGTAAGCTAAAAGAACTACAATTTTTCCTCCTGGTTGTCTCTTTTTTAAAGAAATTCTACTGGAGGCTTCTTGATAAGAGTTTGATCCTATATGTAAATGCTAACCTAAGTCTAAAAGAGTGTTTTCAAATTTCTTCCCATTTCTGTCCTTTTTGGAAATTATCTCAACCTATATTTTATGTAAAGATTATACAGTCTAGGTAATAAGAACAGGGCTTATTAAGAATATCAGTAAAATTGGTTTTTTAAAAAAGGCTATTAGCAAGGATAGTAAGAAAGAAACATAAAACAATAATACCTGAATGACTATTTTATTTGGCATGGAGTAGTTTAGTCAAAAACAAACAAACAAACCCTTAGTCTATAAGTTTAATTACAATTCCCTTAAACTCCTATATAAGTCAAAATTGAGTCAAAGAAAAAACCCAAGAATCTAAAAACTTCCCTAGTAAGTAATAGGATATCAACTTATAACCAAGTTAGGGGTAACAATGAAAGCGGGGTTCTGGGAGAATCGAGAGGACATTGCTCTAGAGCATGTAGTGATTACAAAAGATTACCAAATCTTCAGAAATAAGAGTTCCTAAGCAGTCCACCCTTATTTGTTGGGGGAGGTGGGAAGGAATGGGATTTAAATTTAAAGATGAACATAAAAGTTGGCAGAAAAGAATTCCCAACCTGCAGTTAGCAACCTTAGCCACTTGGCCTGACAGCCAATATAAAAACTCCTACCCCAAAACAATGCTGCTTGCGTCAGGAACTGCATCATCCAGAGAGATGTTGGTAAAGAATCCAGGAAGTTCCCAGACTACTGATTGTAAACCAGTTTCCTGAGCTATTTTCTCGTCCAAGAGAATGGAAAAGGAGAGGAAAGCAGATGGCAAAGATGGAATGAGAAGATGAAGAACAAGGACCACCCTACAGTACAACTGGCTTATCATAACTGACTTACTACATTCATAAAGTACAAAGAACTTTTATCAAAAAACCTTTAAATAGCAGCACTTTTTCTCAAATCAATAAATTCCATGTTAAAGTACGTGGTAAAACAAACAAATATATATGTATATCTGTATGTGCAGTTGCATATGTATGTAATAATGCCAACAATGGCTATTTCATTTTTCCTTCTACTTCAGCTAAGAAAAATCACCAAGAGAATCTCATAGTTTTATAAAATCCCTACCACCTGCTGGATATTGAGATGCAGATATAATCAGGTAACAGGAAATAAAAAGCTAGAACCCCACAGAAAAACCTGGGGCTAGAATTGTAGATTTGAATCACCAACCTATTGATGGTCACTGAAATGTAAAATAGCATGTAAAGAGAAACACCAAGTGTCAAATCCTGGGGAAAAGAAAACAAGCTTCTGAACAACTGAGAATGGATATGACAGCCAAGGAAGGAGATTAAGAAGATAAATAAGAAACCTGGTAACCAATGAAGAGATAATACCATCGACTGCTACAGAAAGGCAGGTCTAAAGGCCAAGAAGAGGACATATTCTAAGCAACAGAGTAACCCAACATCAGACTGATGAAACAATTCTAGTGCACAAAATCCTCTATTTTCAAGTCCCTGTCCATTGTGTTGTCCAATCATAAAACTGTGAAAATCTTTCGTTAGATATTTACGAAGAACAGCTGTATTTGAATGCTGACATAATGTTACGTGTGCCTAATTTATCAAACATGCCTGGCTTTTGAAAATATCATATTGATGATTTGAACATTTTAGACAACAATGAACATGTTTGTGTGCATTTATATGTGTGTATATGTATTTTTCTAGATATAAGACAAAGTCAAAGCACCAATATGAAAAACCATAATAACTAAAGGAAAAGGTTATTAGAAAGTTGCGCCATTCGGATAAGGTGACTAGATGCTCTTATTTTTGATGACCTATACTAAGCATACTTTTATGCCAAAAATTCTAACCAAGGGCCTTAAATGTCATAACGCATTCATTCACTTGACTCAGGATGCCTTTTTCTTGTTAATTCTGAGCTCTAATATTAAAACAACAATAGCATAAAATACCTAGGAATAAATCTAACCAAGGAGGTGAAAGACTTATACACGGAGAACTATAAAACATTGATTAAGGAAATTAAAGAAGACTTAAAAAATGGAACGATACCCCACGCTTCTGGATTGGAAGAATCAATATTGTTAAAATGGTCACACTGCCCAAGGCAATCTACAGATTTAATGCAATCCCTATCAAATTACCCAGGACATATTTCACAGAACTGGAACAAATTATAATAAAATTTATATGGAACCACAAAAGACCTAGAATTGCCAAAGCATTACTGAAGGAAAAGAAAGAGGCTGGAGGAAACCCCCTCCCTCCAGACTTCATACAATACTATAGAGCTACAATAATAAAATAGCATGGTATTGGTACTAAAACAGACATATGGACCAAAGGAACAGAATAGAGAGCCCAGAAATGAACCCACAAACTTTTGGTCAACTAATCTTCGAAGAAGGAGGCAAGAACTTACAATGGAATAAAGACAGTCTCTTCAGCAAGTGGTGTTGGGAAAACTGGACAGCAGAATGTAAATCAATGAAGCTAGAACACTCCCTTATGCCATACACAAAAATAAACTTAAAATGGATCAAAGACTTAAGCATAAGACAAGATACAATAAACCTCCTAGAAGAAAACATAGGCAAAACATTATCTGACATACATCTCAAAAATGTTCTCCTAGGACAGTCTACCCAAGCAATAGAAATAAAAGCAAGAATAAACAAATGGGACCTAATGCAACTTACACGCTTACACAAAGGAAACCATAAACAAAACAAAATGACAACCTACAGAATGGGAGAAAATTTTTGCAAAAGATGAAACTGACAAAGGCTTGATCTCCAGAATATATAAGCAGCTCATATGACTCAATAAGAAAAAAAAACCCAATCCAAAAACAGGCAGAAGATCTAAACAAGCAATTCTCCAAGGAAGAAATACAAATGATCAATACGCACATGAAAAAATGTTCAGTATCACTAATTATCAGAGAAATGCAAATCAAAACTATGCTAAGGTATCATCTCACACCAATCAGAATGGCCATCACTCAAAAGTCCACAGATGACAAATGCTGGAGAGGCCATGGAGAAAAGGGAACCCTCCTACACTGCTGGTAGGAATGCAGTTCGGTGCAGTCACTGTGGAAAACAGTATGGAGATTCCTCAAAAGACTAGGAATAGACTTACCATATGTCCCAGTAATCCCGGTCCTGGGCATATATCCAGAAGGAATCCTACTTTAAAATGACACCTGCACCCCAATGTTCATAGCAAAACTATTTACAATAGCCAAGACATGGAAGCAACCTAAATGTCCATCAACAGAGGACTGGATAAACAAGATGTGTTATA